TTTATTGATACCGTAAGCTGCTCAAGACTTTCTCCACTCTGCGACTGTCTCAGGAGATCAGCTGGGGGACTCATGTATAGCACCAAAAAACCCCCAAACTGTTACATACATCTAGTATTTCCTCGCGATGACTAGACAGCTGAAGGAAGGCCTGAGCTTCAAGGTAAACCATTAAATTCCTCTCTGGGCAGCACAGTTCTGTTTAATACACAGGCACAGAAGTGAAATTCCTGTCCCCTTCATCCTTCCATTTACTAGTTTCACTTCAAAAGTGAGCTAAGTACAGTGCTGCCAAATGGCTGATTCTGTTGGGCCAGGTAATTTATTGATACACGCATCACGGCACTGTAATAACAAAGAAGTGCCTTCACAGGAATTCAGCAGAGTAAACTATTACAACTCATCCTGCAGGGGAGTTGGAACTTGTCCACACTTAAGTAAGAAACAAAAATTTACACCCTACTTAATTTTAAGCACTGTTCAAGATGGAAAACTCTCCAGCAGCTTGCACATCTTGGCCTTCTTCCCTAAGCTTTTTCTATAATGCCACTGAGTAAATCAATTATGAAACATCAACACAGCTTGCCTTCTGCAGAGTCAAAAATTGCTTACATTTCAATTAAAAATGCTTAGAAGACTGCATTTGGTGAAGCTTGCCCTAACAGAGTTCAAGGGCTTGACTCATAGCTCACCGCAATTAAGGGGAGTCCTTAGATCACTTTTAATGCACTGCAGACCCCAGATGGTGTAAATCATTCCTGCAATATAAATTATGGCAAGATGCTAAGACATGTTATAAATAATAATTACATCCTCTCTATAGGACAAAAGAGAAAAAGAATCCAGAAAGATCTATTCACCTTGAATTTCTCTCGAAGACTTTGACCTGTTTACAGGTTCATTTCCAGCTGCTATCTTTGGTAGTTTGAATGTGATTTGTTCTTCACATTCTTACCTGATAGCTATGTCCTAGAGATTTTGGCAAAGGGCTGCAGGTAGGGGGAATTTAGCAAAAAACCAGATAGGCTGAGGTTTCCAGCTGCTTTTCAGGAATATTTTCTAGGCTTTAAAAAGATGCACATTATGGTATGTGATTTCTCACAGCTGGCAGCTAATGAGGGCTGATAAGCTCAACTACAAGCAGCTGAAAGCATGTCAGCACAGACAAAATCAGATTTTAAAGACAATCAAATGTTCATCATCAGTGTTCTTAAACACTAAGTTGGAGGAATACAGACCATAAATCCCAAGTCCAGCCATGTATGATACACTGCTTGTAATTTGGAAACTTCGGACTTCTAATCTTACAGTTTAATGAACTGAAAAACACATACGACAAGTCTGAGGCCTCACAGGAAGATCTCTGGACAAGGGAATATACTTGCTGTCTCTGTACAAGCCAGCAGGAATAGATACAAAATGGGCTTTCTCTAGGCAGCATTATCGATTTGATTGATGGATGAGGTATAGCCAAGGAGGTGTTCTCACACATTAGTAGAACCCCCCTACCCATGCTGCCTTTCTCTCTCTATCCTCATTCAGCAGTTTAATTGTCAGACTATCAGACCTATCTCAGTAGCTTTTCAATCAGTCACTGACCTTCTTGAAGAATAATGATTTCAACTGCCTTTCTGAATTCCTTCACACCTGCAGCCAGGCTTTTGTTCCATTGCGTGACATCCTGAATGTAGCACATAAACAATCATTGTGCTGTATTAGCAAGTGCCTCTGGCCTAGATTTAGATGCCTCCTATGGATTCCTAAGTCTGTTGTACTACAGGTGTGTGATTCTAGCAAAAATTTGCAGCTAGATGCAAATGGCAAGCAATGATTACCACAAAGTGAATCTATATGGCAAGCAATGATTACCACAAAGTGAATGTTACTACCTTAGCAGATGGCACGCACTCACCACTGTGGTTTCATGCTCACCCTGTGTCTACATTGTATCTGCCCGCAATTTCACATGGAGGAGGAAGAATCTGCTTTTTCATCTTGATTATCATATGAACGGTAGAGAAGATCATCAAGAGATTAAGAGCAGTGAAGCATTCATAAAATGAAAATCAGTGCTGCTTGGAACCTCAACTCCTGACTCCCTCCACTGTTACCGAATCTTTATCACTTTCCTTACCATTTTAGATAGCACCCTGCCTGCAGAGGAGATCTGAATAAGCGATTTTCCTCCTCCTCGATGAAGACCGGATGAATGAAGAGCAAAACTGGTTAGTAAGCTTGTGCTACTCAACCATGTAGGTACCATGAAATAAATTCCATTCATAGGAATAAATGGACACATCATTAATGGTCTTATGCAGCATAACAAAACAAGCTGTAAAGGTAGTTACTATTAATTTGGAAGCAGGAGGGCAAAATTCACATGTAGCCTAGTAAGTTAAATCCAGACACTGTTTTTTAAAAATTTGAACAAAGATAAATGTTTTGAAGTGCTACATGATGCTGCCTTCTGTAAGGTGCATTAATTTAATAAGCATTGCTTAATCAATTAAAGATAAAAATAATCTGATGGTGAAACTTGGTCTTTGAAAAGACACAAATAGGCCTTTTAAACATTAACTTTCTAAAGCTGTCAAGTTTCATGTACTTTCTTGCTTTAAAGATAAAAAAAGCAGCAACTCCCTGCAGCTTTTCAGCCCCACACTAAAGTATTACAGAGTGACTTTCCGTCTAGAGAATGTTAATGAAATTTGCTTTGTGTTAAGACACAATGTGAGACTAATCTTGGCAGATCACACATTCTGCTGCCGATTTACCTTTTTTTCCTTCAGAGACTGCAATGATATTGTAGGGTTACTTCAGTGCATGTTCCAAACCTTTGTTGCACAAACCTCAAGGGCCTCTCATCCAAATTATGAAGACAAGCAACTGAAGATCTGAGCCAGGACAGAAAACTGAGAGAACGTTTTTAGACAAAACATACTGAAGACCGTTTGAAAAGATTTAATCAGAGAATTTAACCCCTCCCAGCACCTATCTCCATGTCATGATGATATCATTAGCTACAGTTAGCCTTACATTTTGATATCTCGGAGTTTTAGTGCTTGTGGCCAAATGATACTAAAATTAGAAACCAAGAACTCCTTTCTAGCCCCGCAATCCACAAGTAGGCTGACGACCCTTCCAGAAGAGAGTATGAACTAAGTAACATGCACTTTCACTGTGCACTTTGTTGGGACAGGAAGAGAAGATAAGATATTTTTGAATCTATCTATCTTACTTGGAGAGCTGTAACAGAATAGATTAGGTCCTTGGATTGTGTCTGTTTGGCTACTAATTACATGAGTTCCCCTAGAATTTTCATCTACACAGCCATCACTGGCTGCCAAAGACATTGCTTCGAAACAATCCATGTGCTGTGTATCACACAACAACAGAATGCCCGTCTCCACCAATACTTGCATGCGTTTTGGTGGACCTGAGAAAATTTGAGCTGGATCCAAAATGGCTACCACTCTGAAAAAGAGTAAAATTAAATGTTATCCATGAAGGAATTTTTAAAACAAGGCAGATACAAACATGGTTAATTCTATACCACAAACTTTTAGACAGTGTCCTAGAAAAAGTGTTATGTTACAGCTAAAGAGTCAACAGCTGGAAGGTTAAATATGTTTATTTTAGTAGTGTAAGGTGGTTTTACAAACAAATTTTTAGATTTTGCAATATACACAAAAGAATCATTACAAACAAAAGCAAAATATCATCCCAATAATAGGGACTCTATGCAGCCTGAAATAAAATTAAACCTCTGTTTCTCTTTAAAATGCATCTCAGTAAACATTCTTCTCCATCACTGATAAAATGTACATCTATAATAAATGACATAATAATTGGGGGGGAGGGGATGACGACAACGACAACATCCCTAAAAATAAAAAGTAAAAAAAAGGGAGGAAAAATTATTATTCTGTTTAGGTTGGTATTTAATTCTAGATATGTCCATCTAAAAAAATTAAATATCTCTTTTTTTAAAACATATCATTGAAAATTTTGCATGGCAGTGCAATACAGAAATAGTAAAATTCATCCAAAAAGTGCTATGTACAGCAGCATTGTTAAAATACCACAAAGAAGGGATGGTGCTGTTTTCAAGAAAAGACTAGCATGCTTTTTAGCCATTTCTGAATTAAAGTCAGAAGATATTTCCTGTCTATTTTTAGTAATTCCCTTCTCTCTCCTGTCTCATTCCCACAGATTATGTTTTGAGACAAGGAACAGTCACAGTTCAGTTTAAGTGTGTGCATGTGTACATATATGTGCAGACATATTTGCATACACACAGATGTGTACATATATATTTATATATATATAAACAAGCTTGGTTTAAAAAAGCATTGCTTTGGAACATAGTGAGAGCTCCTCTTCAAAAAGTGAGACAATATGGATTTTCACTGAAATAAACAGGTCCACAATGGAAGATGGACTTTATCAACTACATTATTAATTCATGAAACAATTACACTGCAATTTTGAATATTTCCCAGAGAAGACACCCTCAGAGGCCTCAAACTCTTCAAAAAAATAAAACAGAACAGGGAGCATGATTTTAAATCCAGCCTCTTTTCATGGCTCCACAATTTGTAAGAGCAAAATTTACCTTAGCTGTCGTTAACATCATTATAAGAAGCAATTACTGAAATTAGTAAAGAACATGAGATTTGCACAGAGCAAACTGCAAATGCAAAGAAGTGGTCACACAAAAATTTGAGGCTGGGAAAAGTGTAACTGAAACAAAAAAAGGAGGTCAGATCATTAGGACTATAAAAATTTAAGTCTCTGATTTCACTCGATTGTTCTATTTCCACAAATGACTGACAAACTGAACACTCGTCTATTCTTTTGGAGTCATGATATTAAGTACCCTTACAATCAAGGGAAGGCCAAGAAGCACTAAGCCACATGAGGATATTTTGTGCCTCTCAGGTCACTATGTTTTGTTTTGACAGGAATGTAAACATTGCCTTATTCAGTGCTCCCCAGAATTACAGTTTCAGCATAAAGAAGACTTCTGTGTCAGTGCTATAATCAGTTTGGTTCTTAGGCTGGGATGTAAACATGGTAGGAGAAGCTATATCCATACAAACTGCTTTTGCAATGCTGCAGGCTCCCTCTGGATTTCCTCTCTCCTCAATGGGACTCCCACTGAGCTGGCCTAGGCTTTGCAGCCGCTGTCTCTCCTGAGCTTGCTTAGCCCTGTTGGCAATGTACCGTACCCTACTCTGACTGCGAGATGAAGACCTGCGAAGGAGTCCCAAGCTCTCCCCTTCCTCTTCAGATTCAGTTGGATCAACACTGATAGGGGAAGTGATATCATTTTCCTGCTGAAAGGCTGTCAGCTTCTTTAGCTGCTCAGTCAGTTCATCCTGGGATTTGACTGAGGATCTCAGGCCTGAAGAGCGGCGCTGCTCCCGCATTGATCGAGTGACAAAACTCCTGCTGATGCTACGGTATTTGCTTTCAAAAGTGCACACGATATCATCAGAGGTAAGGTCTCCAAGACTTTTGGATTTTGCCTGGTTATTCCCAACCATATCGTGTGCTTTGGATTTGTTAGATGACTGTCTGAGACTTTCTATGTACAGCCTGCTCCAAGTATGCCTTCTAGGAATGGATGAGAATGCATCTTGAGGGCTCCTGGCAAGAGGACGGGGGCACAATTCATCTGCAGGCAGCTGGCCAGACCTCAGGTTAGGATTGGATTTGCTCTTGCTCACCATTGGCATCTCGTTTCCAGATGTTGTAGCAGATCGTGGGCGCATACCCTTTCTTATGGCAAGGGGCTCGAAATTTTCATGACGGATGCCAAGATCTGGGAGGCTTTTGCGAGCTAGATTGGGTAGAGAGAGATCTATCACAGTGTCATTGGAGGACATGCTGGAAGACGAAGACATGCTGTCACGATGATTGCTGCAATCTAGCTTGCTCCAGATCCGGTCATTAACAGTGGCATCGAAGTATACTTCTGCTGCTGGAGACAGGCTACTTGGAATTTTTAAGGCTGAGGAGTCTGACATCTTCAGTCCTTCACTCTTTGACCTTCTTACTAACATGTAAGAGCTCATCTGAGAAACAGAAACAGGTAGAGCCTGTGCAGGCTGGGCTTTCTGGAAAGTATCTGGAGGCAAAGTTGTCTGTGTGCTGTTAATCACGTTGTTTTGCTGCAGCAGAACATCCGCTGCACCAAGTTTTTGCCCTTTGGATTCAACAGTGCTTTTCATGTCTGTTAATACCTGACCTGGTTGGTCATTTTTCTTCTGGCAGTTTTCAACAGGTTGGCCAGCAGTCTTACCTGCTGCCACTACCAGCCAGGCTTTTTGAGGATGCACTGCCAATCCATACTGATCTTCAGCTTTACTGCATGCCTGTGTCCAACCATTTTCTTCTTTGAGACATCCTGCCATGCTTGTCCTCACATCTTCTTGAACTACTAAACTTGTGTCAGCTGCTCTTGTGACTACCTGCACTTGGTCTTCTGCAGCCAGATTTGTTCTTTGTTCTCTAGTGAGTAGAGATTCTTGAGGCTGGTTGGATGTGCTGCTTACTTCTGATCGAGATTCAGTGGAATGATCAGACACAGACCCTTCTTCAGAATCACTGTAAGGAGTAATGGGTAGAGGGAAGAAAAGGCTGGCACGATGGTTTTCATTGGCAATAACAGGCTCTTCAGTGATAGTTTCTAGGCTGCATAAAGAAGTGACTGACCTCTGTATTGAGAAATGGCAGACATCTACTTGGGAGACATGAAAAGATAGGAAAAAGAAAGAAACAAGAAAAACAGATACAGGGTTAATTAGCTATTACAAATTGCAGTTTAGCTGAAGATTTATTCTTTATGTGTTATCATTTTGTTTTTAAGGCAGTAGTTGCATATATTAATCATGATTTTTAAAATAACATGATTTCAAATGCCTGGCTAAAGGCAGCAAAAATTTCTGCTCATTCAGTTTTAGCTGCCCAAAAGCTCTGTTGCTTTCAAAAAATCTCAGTCCATGCACAGTAGCACCATATTACTTTTCTGATTATCTTATTCAAACAACAACTGTACTCGTCAATGTCTTTGTGTCCTTTGTGTCCCCTCTCATAAACTAACTTTTCTTCCTCCACCATCCAGCACCACTTGAATTGCTCATTTGCTTCCTTCCAGCACTCAAAAGATGTCAGTATATCAAATCATAATCAGACCACGTATAATAATCAGAACACCACTGCCCAACCAACAGATATGATCCCAACGATCAATTACTCAGAAGAGAAGCAGCATAGGACTTCCAGAGCAGATTACAAATAAAGCGATCTGTATGCATAAAATGGAATGTAGTCAATGTGCCTTTTAAAAACAAAACAAAAACTTTCTAACTTTGTTTTCCTAAAAAAGTTTTTAATTTCTTTTTCAAAATACTATACAGACGCATGCTTCATGAACACCAGGTTCACAGTACAATCCTGAAGAATCACTACAGCCACCAATTACCTGAAGAAAATGCTCCGTCCATCTGCAATGTTTATAACCTGTACCTAAGAGCCAATGCAATCATGCCAAAAAGACTATTTCCCACATCTCCAAACCACAATGCAAACATGCATTCGAGAACTAGCAAAGCACCACTGAGCCAAACAACAGCCTTAAGAATATGTGAGCAGAGAGTTATAAGGCAGGAAACAAACAAAAACCGGGACTACAGGCAACAAGGTGCTTGAATCAGTGACACTCAGTAGACAGTTACCTTTGACTTGCTTGTCCTTTCAGTTCTTAACTAGAGAGAGAGAGTGTGCATGTAGAATAATAGGACAGAACAGAGGAAAAATCCAGTTAATGTAGGGAAGGCAGGTGCAGATTACAGGATAAATTAGTGCTGAGGGAGGGAAGGGAAACAGACAGAAATATTCACACATTTTTGTAGGATCCTAAGAATTTCCGACCAACCAGAGCACTCAATGGAATCCATAAATGGATGGGTATTAAGTCCACTATTTTGTCATAGAAGAATAAAAGGCAATTTTTTGCTATTGTTCAAGAAATGCACTCCACTGGACTGGGGAATGGAAGCTAGCCTCTTCTTCTCCAAAGCCCTTTCCTAAGACTATGGAAAAAAATCATCTACATTACCAAAAAATGGCAAGGAAATATTTGGCCTTTCCTTTCAGCACCAGTGTTTCCAATCCAGCGTAGTGACAAGAAGCTTAACAATGGAGACAGCTGTTCAATGGCCTATATTACATTAGCCAGGAGCGTTACGTTCTTCCCTATATTGCATTAGTAGGGGAAGAAGGCCCATGTGCCCATAAGCAAAATCCACCATTCACAACACAGGAAACTTTTCAGTATCTGGAGGAGTATTGGGAGGAGTCCAGAGCCGATCAGACTAATGAGCTCTCCTTCTCCCCATCCAGGCTAGGCCATCAGCATAGATTAAGGCACACTTACAAGGCAAAATACTGGAAACCGTGATGTTGTTGCCATAAAGGGGACAACTAGAGACTATAGTTTCCTGTCTCATCCTTGTGGCACTTTCCATCAACAGAATGTTAATTATAAAATGCAGCCATATTAGGCTAATGTTATTGGTTTCCTTGGTTTCTTGGCCCAAGGCACTAAAATAGCAGGCGGATAGGGAAAGCATGCTGTTTGTGCAAACACAGTGTTTGTCACTGGATCATCAGCATCCAGTCCAAGTGACTATTTCACCATTTTAAAGGTTTGCTGATTCCATGCTTGAGAAGTCAGATGGATTTAATCAAATTTCAAGCATATCACAATATTTATTTAGTGGCTTGGGGGGCTGGTGGGGGAGCTGGCACTGATAATGGGAAATGGTTTCATATGTCACACTACTCAGAGCTTATGAAAAGCCTAATGCTAATAATTTAGGCATAGAAAGAGTTCTGCTGCTTTGGATTAATTTCAAGTCACGGGAACCAGCAAACTTCTTCCCTCCCCCTCCCATTGTCCTGGTATTTTCCTAAAAGCTCAAAGCAGATATGGGGAAAAAAGATGTAAAAAAAAAGAATAAAAAAAGAGAAATAAAGAAAAATTTTAGACACCCAACCAGTTTAAAATTGATCAAATAGAATATTTTAAATTTCTGTATGAGTTTTTCAAAGAAGCCCACTATAGGTGGGCAGTCAGAATCTATTAGTAAAAAAGGGATTACATCTTAAGAAGCACCAAAGTCACTTAACTGTTCCTGAAAATGTAACCATCAATGTCCAAATTCCCTGGACAATTAAGGGGAAGGGGGAGGGATTTGAAGAGAAGCTCTTGTAGTCATAGACAAAAGCTGTATTTCTTTACTTCCTCTTCACAATTCTATGAAACAGAGAAAATCCTGTCAAAATCTCTTCCCTTCCCTCCCTGCCATCAGGAGAAAAAAAAGCCAGTTTCCTTATTAAAATATATAACTTGATTGCCTCTGTTCCTGTATTTCATCTTTACAAACATACAGTTCGTGAGTAAAGACAGAGTCACGTGATCCCAGTGACCACATGCATATTTCTGGCTTGAAACAGCTATAAAATGCTGTAGCTTAAGAAGCCTTCCTTTAAACGGACACATTTTACTTTGCAATTGGGAAATGCTAACAGTCCACCTAGCTCGGCTGATGTCAGGTAACATCAGGTTACACACCTTGCTTCTTTATGTTATGCAACTGTGCCCTCAGGTCACAGTCAAATCATATACATAACATTAAGCACATCTATACATGTTTGTATACTGGGGATTCATACATTTAGGACTAGATGGTCTGCTATGTTCATAAAGTGTGATCTCCTGAATAACCCAGACCAGTGAATTCCATCCAGTAATCCCTGACCTGATGGCAGTAATTTTGCAAGTTCTTTGAGGAAGGAACTGGTTTTATTGTTAGCAGAGTGCACATTAGATATAATTTCTGATGTGGTTATCCCTCAGTGAAACACAAATACTGATAATGGAAATATTTTTTGTTAATATGGTTTTCCCATATTCAATCTCTACTTAATGCTCTGGTTTGGATCTTAAAATTTACTTAGTATCATACCACATTCACTAAAAAAACCACCAAGGAAACAAAAAACCCTGAACAAACAATCCAAACATTCATGGACTATTGACAGTTTTACTACTGCAGATGGTTAGCTAGGCATGGAAAGGACTAATCTAAACCAGACATGTCTAGGAAAAAAAGAAAATAAAAATATTTATGCAGACTTTTTTTTCTGTCATTGCCAAAAATAAAGAAAAAGAGCTCTTGATAGCAAAACAACATACAGAAGCTTCTAAGTAAAGATGCTATGGAGAAGCTGAGACAATGATGTGATCTAAGGCGGAGAAGGGTGAAGAAAATCTGGTCTTACCAGTAAAGAATATAGGGGATTTACTTCGAATTTCCTCCAATTTTTGAACGAACAGGGCGTTCATTTCCCTCTGTAGGGTGCCCACTTGCCTTCGAGAAGTTTCAGACCAGCACTTGGGGAATTCTGGGCTTCCGAGGCTTTCTAGACTGCTGGAGTTGGAGGATATAGAGCCATTGCTGGCTGCAACCAAGTTGACAGTGCTTCCATACTTGCCACCTGATTGGCACTGCCACCGCTGCCGGGAATGAGCCTTTATTCCGTGACATTTAGATTCAACGTTTTTCCTCCCTGGCATCACAAAAGACTGGGTGCTCCTTGTCAGATCATCGGCAGTTCCAGGGCTGCTGCAAGACTGCAAATCTGATTGCCGCCTGGGCTGGCCTTTAACACCCCAGCTTTTCAGCTCTAACCTCTCTTCTCCAGTTATACTGCTATACTGATCATGGTGAAGTATATCTTTAGCAATAGGCCTGGTAGGATGGTCATTCCACTTGCATTCTAGATCTGGGCTTTCTTTGGAACCAATCATGCATTTCATGCAATTGGTGGCCACTCCAATCCTACCAGAGCTGTTGATGGCACAGCGTGCAAAGACGCTTTGCTTCTCGCTCTGGTGCTCCTGAAGCCGGACCCTGTTAGACCTCTGTATGGGTTCACTGAAAGCAGCACCCCCTTGAGCACAACTTTGGCTTTTGATTTTACGAGAACTATGGGCCTTACCTTTCAACCCCTTGCCATGTACCTCCCCACTGGCACCATCTCTGGGAGCTGGTGACAGAGAAGCACTTTCTCGCTCTTGCTCAAAGCAAGGTTGTGAGGCAGCTTCCACTTCGCGGTCTTCACCGGCCCCTTCAGAGCTGTTGTCTTTTGGGTCAAAAGCAATTTCAGGAAAGCCCTTCTTGTTCTTCTTCTGGCTTTTGGTGGGTGCACTGGCTGTCCGTCTCAAGATGTGGCTGCTAAAGGAATGTTTGCGATGGAGCTGACCAGCAGCATGACTGTCCAGAGAGGCCTGCTTTGGATTTCTGAGAAACAGGCCTTTTAGACCTAGAGCTTGTTTGGCCTGGAAAAATTAAAAAAAAAAAAAAAAAAAGGTCCTTAATAGAAAATGCAAGTCTCTTCCTTTGGGCACAGGAACTCATGTACAAACGATCGGTTCACATATGCACGCACATACAGAGTATCCTGCCATATTCCTATCACAAGCATGAGAACTAAACCAGAAATAGGACAGAGATTAAAAATGAAAAAAATCAGTAACAGCAGCTTTGAAAAATTTCACGTCTTTTGCTCAACTATGTTTTTAGATAAAATTTTCCAACCAGGCTTATCTCTGTATTTGTCATAGCTTTCTTACTAGCATGTAGCTACTTACAACATAAACATTAGATAGTGAAAAGAAAAAGTAAAAAAAAAGGAAATACTTCAGTCTACAAGGATCTAATTCTGAAAGCTGAAGAGTTTCTCAGTGTGTGTTAAAAGCCACAAAGCTTGACATATTCATAATGCCACACATGTCAGACTCTAAGACTAAAGTCAGAGTGCTTCTTTTTCAGCAATATAGCTTTCTGGGGTTTTGTTGTTTGGGTTTTGTTTTTTTTTTTAAACACAAAGCTCTGTGAGGTATGGATCAGTTTTCCAACACAATATGCACATTTAAAACAATTCTGTCCCAACAGTTTAATGACATGGATATACTGCGGAACCTGGAGGAGGCATAGGAAATCAATTCACTACAGGAATCCAAGGATAACTGGAGACTTGCAGATTTGTTGCAAACTTAAGTCTTTTCTTTAAAGAATGTATGCTACTTGGAAATGAACATAAATCTACTCCTGAGCATTTATGTGACAATTATACAAAAAGTAAATCAACCCCCAGCCCCTCCTTAAGTTAAGATGCAAGACTCCTAGATTCCCAAAGTCATCAACTAGAATAGCACTACTTCTCCAAGGGCAACATGGAACAGTTAAAATAGGTTCTGGCTCTGAACCACCTCTGAAAGGACCACCACTGATTATAGAGGGAGAGTACAGAGACCAGCTTTCTGATCTGGGCACCCAAAGCATACGTATTTAAAGTATGCGGTGCAAATGCTTCCTCTGAATGGCCACAGAGGAATTAGTACAACCTAGCTTCTGCACTGTGAATTCACATTCTAGCATACTGTGCTCTACTAGGAAATCCTGAACAAGGCTTCTGCATCACACCATAATAAAAATAAAGTAACAAATGCTGCAAGCTTATGTTATCTTAAAGTGTCAGTACTAGCTCTGGGGCCTTGCCCAAGTTAAGTCCAGCTGGAAAATGCAGCAGTTAAAAGAAAAATTTAAACATGTTTTTCAGTAAAATAAATCACCTACAATTTTGTAGACTTAAACACGTTAGGACTGGGCTAATTAGAATTGCTGGTGATTTCAATTAAATTGGAAACACAGAGCTGAATTATCCACCTTGTGCAGAACATTATACTTGGGCAGAACTGGACGTCAGATGCTGTCAAAACTAATTTTTCCCGTCTCTTAAACTGGAGATAGTGACTAGCACTCATACTTTAGACAAGAAACTTGTGGCATGTCCCAGCTCTGGAACAAAACTGAATGCTCTGAGTGAGTGAGAAGAAGAAACTGGAGAGGAAAAACAAACAAACAAACAAACCAAACAAAACAAGCTATAGAAATGGTGGTAATTTTAAAAAGTTACTTTAAAATCATTTTAATTTTACTTGTCATGCAACATGAGGTGGTTACAGAATTTAGCTGATAGCGACCTCTTAAGCTAAAGAATATTCTTGACTTAAAACAGATAATAATAAATTGGATGTTCAAATGGAGATTTACATTCTTTAGGAACTGTTGGGAAATAAACAGTGGACATAAAAATATCATTTTTTTCAGTATAAAGGAGATCTACACTTCAGTTGAATTGAGCACTGTCATGAATAGCAGTTGAACTATATGCATGACAAATGATCATCAAATATTTTCTTTCTACCTGTGTGATTACATTTTGATAATTTCCTACCATACAACACTTATCCAAAGACACTCATGTATGTTTTCATCTCTGAAGAAACACACTATAAACAAGCGAAGTTAGTCAGGGTGATAATACAGTACTTCATATACTTCAGTACTTATTGAAGCATTAAATATATATATATTCACCATCACAAATCTCCCACCATCATACAACTGATTTACATTTCAGTGAAACGGAGGGTTTCAGCATTCCTGTAAACATTCCAGGTGTACTTGCCAACTTTTAAAGCAACAGGCTGATGCCTGATAAAGAGTACATTGGTTTTGCTCATACACATAAATCACTTAAAGCAGAGAAAGAGGTATTTTCCTTCTAATCTACTTCTCCTCCTTTGTTCCCTTTATTTCCCAGTTAGATCAGACTCTCTTCAGTAGCTGTAGCATAAAGAATGAATAAAAATAGAGTATATAAGCCTATGATTGAAATGCATTGTAAGAAACCCATGATAAAATTTGATCGGCATCCATGCTTGTTGGCACTTGCTGTCAGTTCAATTTTTACCCTGTGATGTCATGTGAGGTCACATTTCTGCAGTGCCAAACAATGGCACAGAAATGTCTCATTTAAATTACAATGGTCTATCTTTCACCCCAAAATATTCAAGTGCATGCTCACGCATTTCAAATTTTGCTTTGTAGGACTTAATAGATATATATTAGCTGCACTGTACAGTAAGCCTGTGTTAAAAGCTGCTTTTATTCATAAGTGTCCTGCGCAATCTGGCATATGGGATTCAAGGTTTATTTGTCTGACAGGAAGCCCAGTGTAAGCATTCAGAATATTATTTTTATAATCGACTGAAGTTTAGTTACCCCATACCAAGATCCAATGTGAGGAGGAGATGATTAAAAAGAGACCTAAAATGGCCTTTAAAAGTATATCCAGGATAAGATAAAGAAGGTAGGGATTGATTTTTCCCATACAAGGCAAAGAAAATGTAATTTAAATATTAATAAACCATCTGTGAGAGCCAGACTATTGAACAGTCTGCTTGGATCATTGTGGATTCACTTTCACCAGAAAGCTTCAAAACGGGATTATGCATTTGTTAAGGAGCGAAGGGAAAAAAGCGTTCTGCTCCAATGGAGACAAGTTGGCAAGTACATTAATTTATCGCTATAAAAATCAGACAATATAAATATTTGCAAAACCCAGAAAAAATTGTCATACATACACACACACAAATAATACCCACAAAAATAAAAGAAAAGCACTGATGGAATGGGTGACACGCAGTGCAGGGCCCCAGGTATCATTCTAGCTTATTCGGTGCATCTTTGTTAAGCTAGCTGCTATCGCTTGAATCAATGGAGTGATTCAAGAACCCAAAGACAAATTTGGTTAACTTAGGAAAAAAAAAAGTTTAAAAAAAAAGGGAAAAAAAAAAAAAAAAAAAGAGAGCACCGTTTTGACGGAGATCCAGAACATGTGCTTTCACCTTCTAGTCCAGCTTTTACAGGGCTATTTCATCCTGTAAAGCAGACTTGAATAACAGCACAAGATGCTTTCCCATAATTTAGCAAACAATTCACTGTTAATGTTCTTTTCCACGTGAAAGAAGTGGTTTGAATTACAGCCCACCAGTGAAAAGGCAGTAGAGGTAGAGACTCAAAGAAGAGAGAAAGGGAGGGTATATAGAAGGACTTTTATCCTGGATCTGCTTCATACATGGAGGGCTCTCTGGCTGATCAATGAGCCAACAGAACTGACCAAGTCAAATGTCGCAATTCATGTTACATGAGTTGAAGAACTTCAAAATGCTAATAAGGAAACATTGATGCTAATGAAGCAACTAGTTAGAGGCATGCAGGTGTGTGGTGGTGGTCACTACACCTCCCTGAGACAGGAGGGGGTACCTTCAAGGCGTCTAAAAATGCTCTGCTTCTAAAAGTAGACTTTTTTGACATAGAGAAGCCCACTGAAATCACAAACAGACAGAGTAAAAGCAAAATAACAGTGAGGGAGGATCTCAGAGATATGCACATCTAGAAAACCACAAGAAATTCTGCAATACATGCATAGACATGAAGAGACAGAGACAAAGAAAAATGTCTCCAGGAAATAGTGCAATCTAAGAGATTTCAGTTAAACACAAGTTAAGGTGAAAAAAAATCTAAGACTCTGCTTTAGTAATATCAAGCTACTGAATGGGTGGAATATCTACATTTAGAAAAAAGCCCCAAAAGGTTAATTAATGCTAATTAATTCTAATGCTTGCATTAGAATATCTGGATTAATAAAGGATGGGTAAAACCAGGCTGATAACTGTGGTGATTTTTCTGCCCATAATTAAGAGAGGGGAAACAGAGAAATAATTCTAGTTTTAACAGAATTCTGTTAACTGAAAAATCAAAGCAGAACATGATTCAGAGAGACCAAAACAGAAAGGGCTGTGCAATATTTGTTCCATGTTTTCAGTAGTTTTTACTAAAAATTATAAATTAAAAAAAAAGCACACCACATACAAGCTTTCCTTCCAAATCCTTGTATTTTAATCACGTCAGTGCACAGCACCAGCATCTTAACACCAGCAAACCCAAAGAGACTGCAATGATAATGAGAAGCAATAAGGTATGTCTAATAGACTTAGAACATGAAAAGGGAATAAAGCAATCAAAAAAAAAAAACAGGGCAGTAGATTGGAAGGGAGGGGATAAAAGCTTTCCTTCCAAATCCTTGTATTTTAATCACGTCAGTGCACAGCACCAGCATCTTAACACCAGCAAACCCAAAGAGACTGCAATGATAATGAGAAGCAATAAGGTATGTCTAATAGACTTAGAACATGAAAAGGGAATAAAGCAATCAAAAAAAAAAAACAGTGCAGTAGATTGGAAGGTAGTGGATAAGGACAGGGAGGAGACGCTGTGATACACAAGGGTCTTTCAGTTGTTTAAAACACTTACCAAGAAAATCTAATGTCCTCAAAATAGCTGTCAAAGCTTAAATGGGCATGTTGCCCTACTGCAAATTATAACTGTCACCAGCCAGTTACTCATGAAGAAGCCAGTAAGAGCAAATAATTATGAAAGGATAGGTGAAGTAAGGATTAAAAGAGAGATAATGCCTTGCAATATTGCCAAAGAAGATTTGAGGTGAAAACTCTTAAAACATTCACAAAGACTATGAACATTGTCTCTTTCATGAAACACTGCTATCAAGAGCAGTGACTTGGAAGCTGATGAAGGTAACTAATCAGTGATTAAGGCAGGCAGACCCAGTTTGTCTTTTATTTAAAAATCCCATTTGCCAGTGGATACTAAGCTACAGACTTTGAATTCCAATGAAGGATACTGAAATATTTGCTATCCTTACAATAGTACTGAGAGAGCAGTGCAGAGGACATCACCTGAAAGTAGCAAACAACTGGAGCATCATGAATGCACACAACACTGGGAAGAGGGAGAATCTGCCTATTCTCCATCATTTTGACTAAGAACAGAACAAAAGAAGAATTTACAAAAAGGATGAGTAGGGGTGGCCCAGGCAGTCATCTTCTCTGCTGGATGCATACAGCAAATAGATGCCTGCTTTCATTAAAGGACATAGGTGAGGGACACAGTCACTAATCAGATCAATTCAATTCCCACTGGCCTCATGCCCAAGGCTGAGCTATCTGACTTTCTTGATAGAACTATTCAAGAAAGAGCAACAGGTCTGAACACAGGAACTCCAAAGAAGTTCATGACAAAATTTAAAGCTGTTTGAATCAGTGCCAATGCATGCATCCAGCAAGTGTCTGTAAAGTTACTGAGACAATTGCATCCCTACCCACAGTCAAAACAGGCATGACTTACATCCTATACAGTTTTCTTGAACCCAAAAATATAGTCAGGAAAGATCTTAGCATTGAAATGTTCAGCCTGCCATCAGTTTTCCCTGAAGCCTGAGACTAAATGACCTTTTTTACCATGACCTGGGTGCTAGCCTTTTATCTGTGAGAGCTCCTACAGTCCAAAATTAAACACTGCTCATCTGCTCTGTCCTGCTCAGACCAACATCAACCACCTCTCTTTCACCTAAATCTTCTAAAGTCTCTTGCTCAATAGAGCTAAATTCAAACAGATTCATAATGTCATCACAGGGAGTTTCAGACAAGACTCCTAGTCCTGTCAGGATGAAGCTATACCTGCCTAAGGGTTTTGCATTAGACTTCAAATAAAAAAAGCAGGAACTGAGCTAAAATGTCTAAAGTGACATTCTTACAGAAACAGCCCTTCTTCCTATAAATACAAAACGAAGCTTTCCTGGGATTTATCTCTGTTTCATCACACAAGTTTGGATTAAAATCTAGCAATTTAAAAAGCTGTTTTCCTTTTTAAGAATTGTTTTAATTCCTCTTACATGAACAGCACCACAAGAAAAGGAACTCAGAATTCCCAGCCTATTCAATGCCGCCTCCTGCTGTCACGATGCTGATATTACAGCTTGCTACTACAGAAAACAGCCTGTCATTGCGAGTGGATATAAACTGGTTTTGACTCTCAAGGCACTGTAAGATACTTAGCTACCTGAATTCCATTGAAATCAATACCATAGAAGTAACTAAATCCAGTGCACTGTGAGGAAAGACGCTATCTCGTTTCCAGCTGGCCTAGGAAAAGTTGGAAGTTAGGGCTTTACTTTCAGCTTGGAGTTACTCATGGGAATTTAGATATAGCACCCAGACAGTTGTATTTTTCCTGCATGTGAAGCAAACACGCTCTTAATAACAGATAAGCAGTGAAAATAAGTCCAACAACTATTACAGGGATCATCTTTCCTCTGCATTTTAAGTGTTATTGTGGAAAAACCCCAAAGTAAATAACTCTTAAGAATTTAAATTTAAAATGCGAAGGCATCAGGCAGACAGACTCCTTATAGAATAAGCTTTGCAGGCAACAAGCACTCACAGTTCAGGTGTATAACCTTTTGTTCAGCAAGGTGCACTTACTGTATTGGACACAACCATACTTATTTATATAAATGTGTGCATGCGGCAACAAAATAACCTTCCCCTATGGCTCCCTCAAAAAGGCACTGCAAGAATCTCTTTTTATAACTTTCCCTATGATTTACCTTTATCTCCATGTATGTTCAGAAAGATCTCAGGCTACCATGACAATCACAGAGATGAAGTTTACTCTGTTGAACAAATATGTTAGCTTGGACGTTCACCCACTGGGCTTCCCTAGTGTGATACAAAATCCTGTCAGTTAATTTACGTATGCAAGCTGTATTTTATTACACTGAAGGCACTCACCTTACCACAGATGTCATTAATAGCCACATGAACAAAGATGGATGCCTCTTCTATACCTTCCAGGTACACATGTCGGTAACCTGAAACAGTGAACAAAGCTGACAAGGAGTTGAAACAGATGGTAGGAAGAGCATCTAGAGACTTTCCTTTTGTAAACAGCAAAATAAATTAATCATTTTTTTCCTAGCTCCTCCCCACAATAAGCATCCAGGCTTGTGCATCACCTAGCCACACTCAGTTATCTAAGAGTCACACCACTTAAACTTAACTGCCATTTCTTCTTGTCCCTTTTATTTTATAAAAAATCTGTGTCCTGTTTTTTTCCAGTGTCCATTGTTGCTGCTGTCAATCCGTGACTTAAACGTGACTACATTCTCTCTTGGGGACTTACAGTCCATTATTAATACTGCAAACATTTCAACCAAGTTCATTTTATTGAGACTGGATGTTTGTTTTCAATCTTAAACACAAACATTTTTCTTTACTTTGAAAGAAAAGAAAAATATATGCAGAAGAAGCTTTAATGTGAAAGAAGACTGAATTGAAAACAGAAATAGGAAACTGACAGAAAATGGCATTACCTGGATCCCATCATTAGAATAGGTGAATACCTGTTCTATATTAAACTATTACTGATAGTAATAAGACCAATCAAAACTCTAGTGTCTTTCAAAAAATGAAGAAAAATGGAGGAAAAAGCAGTATAACAGGAGTAAAGATTCTGTATGGTAGTCTTCCAAACCCACAATATTTAGCCATCCTGCTTAACAATCTTGCCCATTTTTTGAAAATCTATTCCCATAGAGTAAATTGATTTAGTCTTCATTGTCATCTAAGTCAGTAGTGGACGAAGGTAGAGAACTCAGTGTCCAAACTCCCAGTCTCTTGTTCTAACTAGAAATTTCTGCAGCAGACACATGCATACACATTAATCCAGCATTTGCAGCTTCAGTTATCACATAAAGTCCTCGCCAACTCATTTGGGATTTCACCATTTCTGTCTTACCTGGCATCATGCTGCTGAAAGCTATTGTTCTCTGTCCAATAAAATCACGCCCAATGGGATCATGATCCCACACAAGGAACCGAATCAGTGCAATCTCTGGCATGTGTACCGTGAACACCAACGTTTCCTCCCACATCGGGTTAAAACCTCAGAATGAAGGAATCAGCTTTTAGATATTTCATTCACAAGATGCAAGAAAAAAGAAGACTGCCTACATAAGGAATGTCTAAACTGCAATGTCATTCTAATTTTCCTAATGGTTTGATCATTGTTCTTGGAAAATCCAGTACTCCCACTCACTTCAGCAGGAGACACAACAGCACAAGAATTTGCAAGAAACAGAGTTGGATCTTACTTAAATTTGGCCCTGCTTTCGGCAGGTGTTTGGACAACCTGACTTTCTTTGACCACAGCAAGCTCAAAATACCCTGCTCTCATACACAATGAGAAGTCAGACAAATTACTTGTTTTACACCAAGACCTTCACAACATTATACCAACTCAGTCGAACAATTCAAGATGCAAGTCTGATTAACATCAGGAATGCTTAAATCAATTTTTCAATGCTTTGCCATAATAGGCACCAAATTTCATCTATTCGTATCTTTATGAACAAAACTTGCCTGAAAGAGGATGTTTCAGCCATAAAAAAATGTAAAAACCACATAATCTTACCATTATCATCAACTACTCTAGTTTGTTCTTTGAAGCAATCAACAGGTAAGCCTATAACTTCTACTTCAACAAACGGATCTATGATCTGGAAAACAGAAAGTAACAAATATTGAAAAGAAAAAGTGAAATGAGAGATCTTTGGCTAAAGCATCTAAAAGCATAATTTAGAATAATCATGTTGCATGCATTTGTGATCATTTCTCTGTTCTATTCTATTTCCCTGTTCTAAAATGAACTTTAAACACTGGTTTGCATATGAATGTTTTCTAATTTAGTGGACATTTGAGTAAAAGCTTTAAAATATATTCAAAACAGACATTATGATAAATATGTTCTAAAGCAGCAACATCAAAAAAATCCCAACAAGAATCATCTGTTAAAAGTCTCAGTGTCATCATGACACAATGGACAAGGCAATGGTCAAAACAAATGGGAGATATGAGTTCTACCTCTGGCCAATTGGCAAACATCTCCTATTACTACCTTCCATTTCTGGAAGAAAGTCTGCTTAGAATGTAAGCTTGAAAAACTGGAGCATGTCTTGTAGAAGGTTGCTGTAATTACCTAATGACTCTGTTGAGACCTCTCTTCATTAAATGTGAACCTCAACTGAATTACAAGTTCCCTGAAGGCAACAGTGGGAAGGACGTTCTGGGCATCATAGAAGAGGACCATCCTGGCACAGAGACTTTACATTCTACTAGGTAGCCACAGAGATATTCCTATAATTGGCCTGAACCTCTACAGTTTTTAATGAGTGTATAAGCATCTCTTGTCTTCTCTGAAAGGATGACAAGTTTTGACAGAGTTGAGTCTCAGGGTGACACCTCTATCCCTATTCACAAGGAGTGGGAAAAGGCAGGTAGCTTTAAAAGATTAATCAGTGTTCCAGCCTGTGATGTGGCTCATCTAAAAACCTACACTGGATGCATTCAATTATATGTCATTTGAAACAGCAACCTGATACTCAAATCCACCATCCATCTCCCAGTAAGTAACACTGAAGACAAGAGTACCTATAATCAACTATCAGATTTTCAGAAAGCTTGTTGCTGCTTTCAGATACCAAGAATGTAAACAGACAATGTGATCTCAGCAAGAATGAAGAATCTTTCTGATGCTTAGGAGAACACAAATGTTCCTTGTGCCCATGTCCCTATAGAATACTTTACCACTGAAGAAAAATCAGATGTGTTACATCTGCTTTTTGTTACTCTTTGAAAGACACCTCATTCTCAGTAGGAAAGACTACACAGTGTATTTATCAAACATCTTATCTTGTTTGCCTAGCTCTATTCTACAAAATCTTTTTCATAACAGAGTGGTCAGCACAATAAAGGTCTGATTTTTCTCTGGTATAATTATATGCAAAGGAAACATATAAAATGAAACATGGAATTTTAAATACCACCTAACTTACTGTAGCTTTCAACAGGGCTTTTATTTCTGAGGGTAGGCTTATGTAGTGTAGATACCTGACTTAGCTCAGATACTGACGGCAATCAAACCAGGGAGCACAGTAAATTGGGTAGGATGAGCCAGTCTACAAGTGCTTGGCCAGAGGTTAATCTAGCCCTTGCTCAGGGTTAAACTAACTGCAAGTTTGGTATCTGGACAGACTGTTTCTTAAGATTATTTAGGCATTTTATCTTAACAGTGTTAATTTTCCTATATACTGTTGGCTCCTGACATGGGGAGTAAGTTCGTCTGTTTTGCAGGCACTTCTAGAGTAATCACTTAAAGCATGACTGTTTGCAATTGTAGGGAACTGGATTCATGGGCTCACATAGCTTTCTTCCAAGATTATGTTCCGCATGAGCTAGTTTCCCCTACTGTTCAGGATAAAATGGAATTTCAACAGATTATTCTTCATCTTCTGAAATATGAGTGCAATCTGAATTAGGACAAATTCCATGCTGTTGCATACGTGGTATTAATAAAAACAGAAATGGAAATAAATGAATTAAAACATAGATAGGTTCACTAAACCCTCAGTATGACTCTACTGCATTTGTTTTTTAGGGAAGTTTACCTGGTTTGATGGAATCACCTAGAGAGCTCTGTGGAGAAAGAGTATGTAGAAGCTGACTGCAACATTCATATAAAATTCAAGCATGTAAGAACTCGTTTGAGAGGTTTGATTCTAATTGCAAAAGGCTAAAAGGAAATTTTAATTCTGACAAAACTTCATCCTACCATTCATTAAAGACTAATATTTAATAAAGTCATGTGGATGACATTGCAACAAACAGCACAAGAAATGAAGTTTTTGGCAACTTTAAAAAGTTGCCGAGAGTTGCAAATCTGGCTCCTTTTAGTCTGATATTTCATTAAGTGAAGTGGCCAAGGGTTTTATAAAACAAGTAAGGGAGCACCAAAAAAAAAAACCTTTTTTTTTTTTTTTTTTTTTTTTTTTTTTTTTGGATGACATTGCAACAAACAGCACAAGAAATGAAGTTTTTGGCAACTTTAAAAAGTTGCCGAGAGTTGCAAATCTGGCTCCTTTTAGTCTGATATTTCATTAAGTGAAGTGGCCAAGGGTTTTATAAAACAAGTAAAGGGAGCACAAAAAAAAAAACCCCAAGTCACACAACAGAAGCCAAAATGAAGGAGAGAAAGAAAACGTAATAATACTGTGCTAAATGGAGGACCAGGAGCAGATTCATGCAAGCAGAGGGAAGGACTCCCAAGTAACTCTGCTTGCCTTGCCTGACAAGCTCTGCAGTTTTCTACACCTTTTTTTTTTTTTTTTTAAGAGACAGACTGACTTGGCTCTATTTGTAAAGGTGTTTTGGAGGAAGGAAGACACTTAGAGTACTATGGTGAGTAGAAACTTGTCATGATGAGCTTATTGGCCCTTTTTCGCTTCTCCTGGAGGCACTGTATTGACAATCGGACGAAAAACATCAAACCATTGCTGTGATGCTTAGAAGTGAAGAAAACCACCTCAAGATCCAGGATGCTAATGACCTAATTTATTCATGCTCCGTGCCTCCTGACAAATAACTGCAGGAAGTTAAATCCTCATCCTTAGCCCAGCCAATATGGAAATAAACCTTCTCCAACACACAAGAACAATCACCGATTGTCCCATACCTCTCCTCTGTCTCCCAACATGGAATCACGTGGTTTTGGGAGTTGTTGACCACTGATAATTCTTAGAACCAGCTGTTTCTTCAATTGACCAGGCAGTGGGTCTTCAGAATTTGGATTAAAGACACCTGTAAGAATGAGAAGTCATATAATGTGAAAGAAGTGCAATTTTGGGGATGACTTTAGTTATAGATACCTTCTGGCATGTTTGCTTCTAGCATCAGAAATGCATTGTTAAACAAACTATAAGGATTCACACCCACTCTTCTCATGCAATAAGTGATCGACTTCTTTTTGCTCGTTTTTCTTACCTTGACACATGCAGTTTGGTTTGAGGACATAGCCACAGTTCCCATTGGCACTAAATTTGGCCCGGTTCAGTTGCAGCATTCTCCCCTCTGACTGGTAGTTTAGTGCAACTATTTTAACCAAAAAAAAAAAAAAAAAGGTGATATTACTTACTGAGTAAGTCAACAACATTCTTGTTTGTAGAACCAAGTTAAAGGAAGGACACCTAAATATATTTTCACATTTGACTTCTTGGATGCAGAGACTCAAATGTTTTATGAAAAAGAATTTTCTTATATAACATACATCACAGCTTCAGGGAGAGAAGCTCTCCAAAAGAGTCTGAACTCTGAAGTCCTCTTGCATTTGAGAAGTTCATTTATTTCCATTTATCAGACAACTGCTTGCATGTAAGACATATTTGAGGTAATCTATCTAGGTAACAACATACAGTAACAAGGAAGACTCAGTTGTCAGTAAAGTTGGATTAGCAGAGAACTCAAGAGTACTTTAAGGGGCGATTCTGGAGCTCCTATTAAAACATCCCTCCCAAAATAAAACAAAAATTAAAAAAAAAAAAAAAAAGCCTCAAGTTGTGCCAAGGGGGGTTTAGATTGGATATTAGGAAAAACGTCTTCACCGAAAGGGTTGTCAAGCATTGGAACAGGCTGCCCAGGGAAGTGGTTGAGTCACCATCCCTGGAGGTATTGAAAAGATGTTTAGATGTGGTGCTTAGGGACATGGTTTAGTGGTGAACTTGGCAGTGTTAGGTTAACGGCTGCACTTGATCTTAAAGGTCTTTTCCAACCTAAACGATTCTATGATTCTATAAAAACAAATGAGTTTTCTTTCTGCTCACCAAGTTGACAGCCAGCATTCCAGAATGGCTGGGGATTGTAGTTGCTAGAGTCCACACGATAAGAAGATGGGTAGATGCGGGACAACTGTTGCTGGTTGAAACGTAGATACTGTGCTGGCTTTTGCTGCAGTATCTGGTGGGCTTTTGTTTCACTGAAAGATGAAACCTGCCAGCTGGAAGAGACTACAAGGAAGAGAGGAAGAGATTAGAGGTAATCTCCTTAGTTAGTTATTATCTAGATAAAGCATTCAAAACTACATAGCACTAGTTCCTTATAACTATCAAGCATCATTTGAATACATTGCACTCAGAGGGAACTATGCTTTTCTTATATTACAGCAAAATCATTGTGCTTATTGGAGGAGTTATGGTTGGGAAAGTGAAGCTGAATATAATGAATGACCTGAATCTTCATTACGAAGTTTTAAAAAAATTCTCTAAGATTTTTTTGAATTTGCTCAAGGAAAGTATGTTTTCTGGCAAGCAATTCTCTCTTTCTGACACTTTTAACTAAAGCTTGATTCCTGTCAAAATAAGATGCAGAAAACTTACAAAGAGAACTGAAATATTCTAGAAATTTAATGCTGATATTTCATCAGATTTGACTTAAAAATCTAAACTTTAGGCTTGAAATGCTCTTCAGAGCATTCTGCCCAAGAGCATAACTAAGTCTTCTGTTATTTCCCAGGATGAAAGTGTTGTGTAGCAGCTTTTATACAAGCTAGCGAAGACTACATGTCTATTACTTACTACCTATAGTAACTTTTTCTCCTTTATGGAAGCTGTCACACAACTCTAGACTCACTTTGTGGATTCTGAATGGCAAGTGGTCAGCTACTTCAAAATAGTATAGCTTTATTGTGTGCAGCTCTTCCGTTAAAATCTTTTCAGGGTGGGGGAGAAACAAACAGAAAATCAGCTTTTAATAAGAAAATATGTAAGAACATAAACCTTTGAATTTCTTTGTATAGCAATTATTTTCAGCAGACTTTTAGTTCAACCTACTTTCAGTTTCAACATCATGGATGCCAACAGACTTTGTGTATTTCACCAGGTCAGAGAGTGCTCTGGACAGCTTCATTGTTTTCTTCTGTCGGTTTATCCTAGAAAGTAAAACAAATTAATTACCCATTAATTAAGGGGTAACTTTTATCTTTCATACTTAAAAATAAATCAGGATAAAGAAATGTAAGAAGGTTTTCTTCCACCAAGGAGGTACTTAATAGTTTTGTACCACACAGAACTTCATTATCAAAGCACAGAAGTTGTGGAACCAACAGCATGAAAGTATACAGAACAAGTCAGTCCTGTTCTTACGTGTTAATGGCAGACATAAGTATTCACCTACTAAGATCTGGTGGGGAGGACTCTAAATTGCTTTGACCAAAGGGTAGAATATCTATTCACATATATATTTACTTCTCAAGTCAAGTGCTAACAAAAAAACTTTTTAAATGCCAAAGAAATAGTAAGAAGGTAATGCTCTGATCCTCCTCATTTGCTTCAGGTTATCACTAACAGCATATCTACTAACCTCCCAAAGAAAGCTCCAAAGTATCCTAGAGAACTGCTTGATCTGATTTCCTACTTTTGAAGCCTGAAGCTTAAGCAACCATTCTGCAAAGGATCCTTCATGTCAGGATTTTTGAAGAGGCAATTTCAAAAGAAAAATCAAAATAATCACCTGAATGTTGATGCAACTTCATTTGGCAAATTATAAAACAAGAAAAAAAAAATCAGCTGGGGACCTGATACACTGCAAATCCACCAGTCAAATGGCATATATGTCAGCTGGATGAGATGGTAAGAGCTTAAAACACATACAAGGTCCACTGTACTTTGCTAATTAGTCTGAATGGCGCCAAGAGATCGTTCTGATGATCTTGTGGCAGACATCGGATCTACCGTTATACCAGATTCCTGTCACGTGCCCGCAGCCTTCAACAAATTGGCTTCTAGACCTGAAGCGTATCTATTTAGTGGGTACGTTTGTGTAGGTATCTTTTTTAGAAACAAAATTGCCAAATCACTTGTTAACAAACCTGCTGTAATGTACAGAGCTCCTGGCTAAATTTCCTTGAGAATCCGAATCATCTTCACCCTCTTCCAGACTTGTTGCCTTTTTCAATTTGCTTCCTTTTTTCTGTGCCACAAGGAAATAAAACCGTAATATCATAACCGTCTGATCAACATTTGAGCAGCTGGATACAATTCTGCTTTGTTATGCCAATGAGTATGTTACTTACAGAAAATGGGAAATGACAGCTTTTGTAATACTCAGTATTGCAGAACAATATGCATGCACATGGGGGAGATTCAGCCCAAGGTCAGAGCTTTTTTATAAAGGAATCACAAAACCTCAGATGAAAGGTGCAAATGAATTTTTCTGTTTTTCAGATTAGATCTTGGATACTTTTAGACCCTGATGTAAATTGAAACTACCTGTTATGCACAATTATAACCAGTTATCCAGCCTATCTATTCAATGAACAGCCTGATAGCAAGCCTCTGCCAGACAATGCAATTATGATATTCCTCTCCACCACTGTGTGCCAAGAAAAAACCTATCCAAGAATACAATATTTAGCGTAGACCTAATCTACCAAGCGGCTCACCTTGCGTTTAGAAAAACTGCCCATCAATGACCGGCTGTGCCTTTTATTGGTACTGAACTCTTCCCCAGATTCCACATCATCTTCAAGTTTATTCTAAAGCAACCAAACAGAAAGAATAATGTAGCAGACCAAATAGAGTGCTACAGACAGCATATTTGAACATCATCAGAAGTAGTTTGGGAAGCAATCCTCCCTAAAGTGTCAACAGAACTGGACCAGACCAGTGCAGACTTTTTTTTTTTTTTCCCCAAAAAAACAAGCTGAGTACAAGACCTTGTATCCTGGCAATAATTGCCATCATTTTTGTCCATGGGATCTTGAAATCACACAAATGCCTAACCCCAATTTTATTTTCATCCAGGCAAAGTTTGAATGCCCCCATACCACATACATTCATTGACACCAGACTGGTTTGTAGCTTAGTATTTGAAAAGCATAGTTTAACAGGACTTATTTCTGCCAATTACACAGTTTTACTAGGATACTTCATGGTAAGAAAGAAACAAAACTCTCATATAAAATAATAATAAAATACAGACTATTCTGGTTAACACCTATGCAAAAGGATTCTTGAAGTCTTGGCCTTGTAGTGGATCTTACAAGAATAACTGTCTGATACATTATGTAAATCATTAGGCTTAAAAGTACATACAAAACTCATGCCATAGAAAGTTTTGGGAAGCTGATTTTTAGTTCTCATCTAGTTTTAATCCCTAGTTAGTACACCTGCTTATTATTGGCAGATCTCCAATGTTTTTCATTTGCATGCAACAATGTTCCTAAGCTTTTTGTGGCTTATTACAAGTTCTAAAATGACAATGCGTCAAGTTCATGAAGTGTAGTCTGTGGGCTGAGTACTTTTTTATAAATAAGCATTAGTAAAAAATTAAAATACAAGTGTAAATGCATAGAACATAGAGAACCAAGGAAAAAAAGCCCAACTTTCATATGCACTTTTTATAATGGAAAATAAAATTATTTCTGTTGAAAAGTCATTTCATGTGTACATTTCATGCTCCAATTGCTGTGTGAGCAAGAAAAAAAGCTTTGCGTATCTGACAGTGTTATTCACCTGTCATCATCATTAACCGAATGAATTCAGCTATGAATCTGAAGTCAATAATATATGATTTATTTAGTAATCTAATAAAACACAACAAATGGAAATGCTAAACACCTCTTTCTCTGAAGTCACTGAAAGTTATTGGACTTTGGAGAAAGAGGTGGTTAGCATTTCAGTTTATGTTTTGAAGGACTGCCATATTTCATTATTCAACTGCAATAACAGACTATCCCTCTGCGTCAAGTGTGAATTGTGAAAACAGCTAAAATTAAAATCTCACTATCAGCAAATTAAAAAGGAGCTTCTACTAAACGGACATAAATGCGAAAAGTATTCTTCCTTATAGCTTTTATATAAGCAACATGAGGTATTAATACGATGTCATGACAAAATATTACAGAAAATATTACAGAAGAAGGGAACGTGTTTTCTTATGTATTGAAATAGCCAAATATGTGGTGGTCAGAGCAGTCATCCAAGAATGGAAAATACAGCTTCAAAATCCCAGTTCCACCTAAGTCTGACTGGGCACATGAACCTGGATCTCCCACACCCCAGGTGAACGTTTTGGCTATCTGGTTATTCTTGAGTTGTATTATCCTAGTTAACCTAGACAGGATACAGGGACCTAATAGCAAATAGACTCCGCAAAATTCATCGTGTGACTCACACTATCTTGTTTTAAGGGCAATGCTGGGCATTCTTTAGTTTCATTAGTACTATGATAGCTGCAGACACCTCAGGTAAACTGAGCCGTCTCTATTGGGGAGTCTCAAAACAGATTTAAAAGCTCAACTTTAGACATCCACCTTTGAAAAAACAACCATTATTTTTATGAAATAATAGTACTATGTAGACACAGAGACAAACAAAACAACAACCAGGTCTAGGGGTAAGTGAAGTACAATAAAACATTTTCACCTTCTTACTATCTGATTTTAGACCAGCCTTTCCTGATGACGGTAGAGTGGTAACTGTAAAATTGTTTGGATCTTCACAGTCACGGATTTTGGATTCTTTTATCAGTGAGTCAAGTTTTTTCTTTGCTATATTCTCCACTCTTTTCCTATTAGTAGATGCCTACAAACAAAACAGAATCATTAAACTAGGTAGTGATGAAAAAAGTCTTAGTAATTCAAGCCAGGATTAATGTAAACTAAAATGTTACGTGCAAGGGAAAAAAAAAAAAAAAAAAAAAAAAAAAAAAAAAAAAAAAAAAAAAAAAAAAAAAAAAAAAAAAAAAAAAAAAAAAAAAAAAAAAAAAAAAAAAAAAAAAAAAAAAAAAAAAAAAAAAAAAAAAAAAAAAAAAAAAAAAAAAAAAAAAAAAAAAAAAAAAAAAAAAAAAAAAAAAAAAAAAGAGGTTCTTCATTTGCATAATGTGAAGCAGTTACCTGCAGCTCGGTATCAGACTTAATGTAAGGTATGGAAGCATGAGGCCCTGAAGTAGACGTTAGATCTAAAGTGTAAACAGATTGTCTGAAGTGATGAGAGAGTAAAACTAATTAAAACAGTTCTAATTAAACCAAGACTGACCATTAGCAGACCTATTCAGATGTAATGTCTGTTACAAACCAAGGATGTGCTAACATAGAAATAGTTATTACTGAGATGACTCCCCATACTGAACTGGATTAACATATGCTATGTTTTGCAGTACATTTTTAGTAAAAAAATCTGATCTATTCCATTGTGCTGTCCAATAAGCCATTCTTCACAGAAATTTAATAGTAATGGATACGTGTGGAAACTCCGAGTATATAGTATTTCTCTCACACATTGGGGTTGACGGACAGCATTCATATGCTATGTCAAGGTTGACTCTGCAGCTACAACAGATGCAAGATTCTACTGGATGGAATGGGAGAAGCTTTAAAATCTTGATTTCAGCAGTTCAAGGGCAAAATATAAGAGAACTCTTGTTCCCACCTTCTGTGTACATCATAGCCCATGTGAGGAAGTGGGGGAAACAAAAATAGAAAGCCAGTGTTCTCTTTTTCATCCACGAAGCATAAACTCACAATCCCAGGTCTTTTAAGAGGTGACAGATTGTGTTTTCTCAGTAGGCCTTAAGAATTCCTAGTTAAATTTGTCATGAAACAAGCTATGATTTTCTGAACTCTTCAAAATTTGGCTTCGAAAGCAAACCAGATGTAGCAAGTCTCAGATTTAAAGCATCAGTAAACCTCACAACAAAGTGAACTGTTAGTAACAAAGACAATGAGGTCAAAGCAATACCTAATGAGCCTTTAGTGAGAATAATACACCCAGCCATAATATGTTACTACCAAATTTTATTATGAAAGATGACACTTTTCTTACTGGCATTCATTTCTCTATCCATTTAATGGAAGAAAAATAAACATTATTTGACATCTCTTTATAAATAGCACATCTGTGGGAGAAATTGAAAAGAATCATGACAAAATTAATTTCTAGCAATGAGAGATCTGCTAACATTTCTGCTTGTTCAAGTATGTGGATTAGAATCCTGTTGAAACAAGTCTAGAAATTATCTGGAAAACTTGCAAAATCAGGATCTTAAGTACCACAGTGCCCATGATTTCAGCAGGGTTGTCAAATCACCTGCCTTGTTTCCTTTGGATATGGAAACAGTCTGTCATGCCTGGGATATAGACAACAGAACTAGAAAACACAGGAAAACAACCTGAGTGAACTTTGTTTATCACAGTGAAGTTTCAAAGTCAAGAAATGTCCAATTCTCATTTTATTCAGTTTGCGTAGTTCTGGTTTCCCTGTACAGTCAACTACATAGGTAGCCCCTAAGTAGGTTGTAAAAGCTTTTGGTTTGGCTTTCAACTCATTTTCTCCCTGTTCAAAATGGTCATGCCTTGATAGCAGGCCTGATCTTATACGGGTGAAAGCCTGCTGGACTAAACTGCACCACCACTGGCTGTACAATACCTTCCACTTTGAAAAGATGCATCATGTAACAAGAAAGTGTCAAAAAACATGAAGCATTAAAACACCACAGATCACAGCTTTAGAATATTGAAAAGTGGTATGCTAAAACATAATAATTAAAAAAAACCAAACAAATTCTTTTTCCCCTTTGGTAGACTTATTCATAAAGAAATTTCTCTTTTAGTTTTAGATGAAAAGAATCAAATCCATAATACAAAGCGAGGAAACAGCCTGAGGGAGAGAGGACTGAAAATGCAATCTCTCTCCAAGGCAATCTAGTTTATGTTATTAAATGGCTTTGCTGTGTATTTCATATTGTTTCTGTAAGATGCAATGTCACTTGCCAGAAGATTAAAGTGACCAAAAAAATTAACTTTTAAAAAGGATGAAGAAATAAGGGATTTTCAGATTGAAGCAAGCAGAGATTAAAATTTTCTCCCTTTTTAACACCTCCTTACAATAAAAATCAACTAAACCCAGCATTCAGCAAACCAAAGGGATGCTCTGTTACAATGACGACAATTTGACATAAGTAGAATTTTTTCTTTTCTTTTTTGCATTTGAGGGGAAGAACACTATGATGCAATAAAGAATCATGAGATATTACTATTTAAAATATTAAGACAAAAAATCCCAAACTTGAAACATAACCACTAGAACTGGTGCCGCCTACTATGCACTTTTGTCAACTCTGTCCCCATGAAGGTTTAGAACCTAAAAGGCTTGTGATGAATCCCAAAGATTAGACCACATCCACATTCCACAGAACTCATACAAGGTTTCTTCTCACTGGAGTGGGAAAACTTTACATACTTTTACATTCAAATGGTCACTTAACTTACATCTCCATTCATTAGTTTACAGTCATCATCAATCTCATCAGCACTGTCCTCATCAGAAACTTCACCTTCCTCTGCATCATCACTGATGTTGGCTGGAAGTTTCTTCCCCTAGAAGATAAAATGATGACACAGGCAGGGTAGCATGCAGCTCTTGCTATCACACATTTGAAAAAAAAAAAAAAAAAATTATTCAAAGCATGCAACCAGGTTCTTATTGATTGAGAAGACATTTGTTCAGAACCTTAAGTACCAGGTTCTTAAAGAGTGCTTTTTGTAAAATGATTTAAGTTAGGGTATAAGCGATAACCAGGCAGAAATCATAATCATCACAAACAAAAAGAGGGATGGAACAAACAAAGCAGGTTTTTACCTTAACCAGTATCTTTCCTTTAAGACTTGCTGGTGAAGGGAGCTTGGTAGAATCATCATTGTGCACAGAAGACAGATCCAGTTTGTCTCCCAGAATTTCTATAAGATACTGAGCCATCTTCTTCTGCTGAATGACACTGCAATGGTTCTCAATTGACAAGATAACAGGGTACCTGGCAGAGACATAACCAAGTATCATCAACTGCAAATTTAGCTTTTATAGCATTAAGAGGATAAGGGTTATTACTGTCTGAGCCATTCCTGTAATAGCATCACCACCAATGAAATCCACAGGGGTTAGATAAATCAGTGTGGGCACAGGACTGCTAACCCACTACTCACTCCAAATTCAATGGTCCATTTTTGACAGCCACAGGATAATTAAACTTCTGCAATCTGATTTGATGCATTTTTTTTCCAGAGCACACTTTTCACCTTCCTGCACTACCCAGTCCTGACCTTCATTTCCTATCAAAGAGATTCTAGCAAGACATGCATAAGGAAAAACTAAATAGCCAGTGCCTTCAACTCTCCTCTCCACTCGCTGCTTCAGCCCTTTTGTACTGTCACAGGTAAAACTAAATAAAGGTTCCAAGAACTGAAAAGATCCCCAAAGGGGCTTTGTCTTTACCTTCCCACTTCCAACAACGAAGTGATAAACCTGTTGTGTTAGTTCTTCCATGAAATCTTTTCTAGCTAGCAACAGAGGAGTGTCATACAAACAAGCCTGCAGATAAAGCCTCTTCTACAAAGACAGTAAGTATTATTTCTAGATTTAGTTTTATTGTTGTCATTTATTGTTGATTCTCCAGGCTGAGGCCAAGAAATAAGAATGCCTTGTTGTTTGAAAGGCATCAAAATAAGATTTGTGAACACTGATTCCAGTGCGGTTGGTGCCATATAAAAGCACACTGAAGATGGATTTCTGTTTAGATATGATACATTTTTAGGATGAGCACAAAAGCCAGTATACAGTGCAGGTTTTTAGGGCTGAATTATGAGGGATTCATTAATTAAAAACTAATTATGAATAAAAAGATGTCTATCCTGACATCCGGCCCTTATTAGCTCCTCATCAGGAAAAATGAGGCTTTCAGCCAGACAATGCCTGCAGGACAAAACTTTCCCAATTGAAGACTATAGTTAAATTCCCAGCTTTGCCTGAAGCTAGCTCCTTAGCTGAATTTGCAGCCTACCAACAGCTATGCCTCCAGCCTATACTGGGAAAGAAAACACCTGCAAGTCTAAAATATGTTTTGTTCAGTACCAAACTCTGACTGAGCATCAATACCTATCAAGAAAATAAACCACCACAAATAATAAGTTGTAACACGGTCCCAGGTAACCCTTCTGTAAAGCTTTTAAGAGCTGCAACAATTTCAGAAGCTTTGCCATATATTCTGCTAGCCAGCTTTCCTTTGATTTATTTACCATGTCTTCAGGCAAACTCCAAAAATTTCAGGCTCACAATAAGTTTACCTGGGCTGAAATTTCAGTGCAAGTTTAGCTCTATTAATGAAGGCAGATGGACTGCTTTGGAGAAGCTACTGGAAAATTTTTACAGAGATAAATTAATTTATCTTAAAAAAAAAATAGATAGGTTGACACACACATTTTGACTCTCAGGAGGAAGACAGTACTGCCAAGGTATATGAAACTTCCGATTGTATAATTCTCTGATTTCCTGAGCAATGAACAGGTAGGGAAAATAACCTATTTCTCTTGCACAGTCTGCTTTCTCCACAATTGGGCTACTGTCTCTTTGTATTCCTTTGCTGCCTGACTTGCTTCCTATCCCTGGAGCAACCAAGTGTAACCTTGGCATCACTGGAGTACACATCCAGAGATACGTGGTTAAACTGTCAGCTATTCACAAAAAACATTCACTGTCAGAACATGTTGATCCTCTTGTCTTCTACGAACGGGATAAAGACAGCCCCACAACTATGTATAGAATGCCCCTACTCAGTCAGTTTTGCCTTGTTATTTCTTTCTGAAGGCTTTCTCCCCACAGAAAACAACTCAGAATTCTGTCTGGCACATGCAGAAACAGGTTAGATTTTCACTGACTGCCTTTACAAGGATGCCTGGGAACACTCCAGTTTACAGCCCTGAGACTCAAAAGTTGGCAAACTGTATACATACTCATTTTTGATAAAGGCATATTTGTTGATAGTTTCAATCACATCTTTGAAGAGAATTTTGGAAGTCAAAGTGTATCCATGGTGGACAATTGGTTCACCGTCCGGCCCATCCCAGCAGTCAACTGTAGAACAGAAACAATGACACCCATCAGACAAGTAACATCTGGGGCCACCATCTGTGGAAGACTACGAGACCCTGCAACCTTCAGCAACCCAGCCAAACATGTACCCAACAAAGCAGGGTATAGATTCAGTCCCACCCTTCATCTGTATCTCCCTCCTCACTGTGCTGAACGTCCTTCCTCTGACGAAACTTCCTGGCCTTGACATTCTACCGTGTACAGATGACTCTTCCCGTTGTTTGAGAAAGCCCCAAGCAAAAAAGATCTCCTTTAATAAGGGCTGAGGAGTATTATGACAGGAAGAGAAATGACATAGCATAGCATTACTTTTGTTATACTACTGCTAAACCTGAAAAGGAAAGCAGAGAATCTCAGCCAAGCTTCTCGCACCACAGGCAAAGCCAAGACTTAGGCATCTCTAGCCCTCCTTGGATTTTGCCTAACCTTATACTTGTTTACAATCATATTTCCATAAATATTTTACTCCTCTGAAGCACCCGTTGGCATGTCCACAATCTGACCTGAGCAAACCATAATATTGGCCTTATGAAAAATTGTGAAAACACTTTGATGGTCAGGATATTAAAGATGATTACAAAACAGGTACTGTCTCAGAAAGGCACTACAAACATCAGAAGGGATTTCACATAAAGGCTTCCTAGTCACTGCAGAGACTGTCAACATTTCACATAATAGAACCCTACTTCCCTTATCAGAAATATCAGCTTTCCTCTTACGTGTAGCAGGAACTCTGCCATATTTGCCAGTTTGGTTGCCGTACACTTGGCTAGAAAGTATATACACCAATACATTCTACTGAATGTTAGTATCCTCTCTACAAAAATATTTTTACAATTTTTTTTTCCTCAGTACCAATGACACTACTCTTTGAATGTCTGCCTTATTTCCATGCTCAAGAAATTTACCCATTATATGGCAACATCATTTTGTTGTTCTTTATGAAGGGAAGACACCATTTTACCAGGCTTTTTCCTCTACCCAATTACCATGTCTTCTGCAGAAGTCATGAGTCTTCCTTTACAGAGGAGAAACAAAACTACAGAGCCTACTGATGATTCCTTTTTGATCTTTACCTTCTACGCAACGACAGCCAGATTGTAGCACCCATGCATACATGTCCACCCTAGACTGGGACATCAGTTGATCTCCCATGAGGTAGGTATTATGTGAAGAGGTAATGAAATAGTGACTCAAAGGATAACTCATGTCCTGATTCACTTGGTAGTGTTCTGGGTTGAATATGTCCCCTGATGGACTCCGCATGTAATTGGTGAAACCTGTAAACAAACAATACTATAAATAATACAGTTTTGTCCTTTTTGTTGCTGTAGCCTTCCTAAAACGAGCCTAAAAACGCATCCCTACATTCACCAACATATTCATGAACATGTAAGTAAGATAAATAAATAACACCACTACATCCCAACTGTCCCAATGACCAATCGTGATTATTGCTTTCAAGAAATTTCTAGTTGCTTTGTACATTTCCCTGCTCTGCCTTTCCTGAAAAAAATACGTCTATTTAACCCAACCTGACATTCTAAGCTTGTAATTTTTGTCAAAAGACTCTGCTGGGACATTAAGCCGCTTCGCAAATAAAAGCCTCCAGAGATCTGTGGTCATATCCTGGCATTGCTCCTCAGTGAAATGAGTTGAAAGGTACATGGTATTGTACTGCCTAGAGATAGTTTCCAGTGGCCCAACACAGTTTGAAGCAAGGGAGATAGTCTCCCCTCCTCTATTTCTCCTGAAAATACCAGAAGAATGTCAACACACATTGGCTTGTACAAGCAACAGTCTCTAATTTTGATATGACACCGCATGCACAAACATGGTTATGGATGGGAGATCTGCAGTATTGCATCGCTGTCACTTTATGAGACTGAAGTTCACTGTAATACTCCAGACGACACCAAAACATCGATTATGTGTAGCACTTTCAGTGATGCTACCAGAAGAATGTATTTTCCGAAGTAGTGGGATGCTTGCAAATCATGCAGACTACATCACCTGGACAATTTCTGTATTGCATCACCAGTCTTGTTTAGAAGCAAAGTTTTAGCAAGTTATGTTTTTTATCTTTGTATGAAATTGCTGCTCTCAGATCACCGGTATACTTTTGTGCACATATACACAGACACTTTCACAAGACAGACTAACATTAAAAACTGTAACTTCCATTTCAAGCCTCCCCAAAATTCTTTTCATTCACCACCAATGAAAGACTAAGATTTCCATTCACATCTTGGCTTAACAGCTGCTGACAATGATGATGCCTTTATTCAAAAGGTCTCTGCTTCAAGACTTCTAATTCTCCTCACATTTCACTCATTATTTCATAAATAAAACAGCCCCCGTATAAAAATCCTGCCAAACTTCTAAAAGTTTTAACACACTTTCTCTGACTGTGACAGACTGGTGCTTTGTTTCACTAAAGCTACACAAGGTAAAATAAGTCCAGTCCTCAAAATCAGTCTCAGAATACCGGTCTACAAAACACAGAGAAATTGAGCTTGAATAGAATTTAAGATAAAATGTCACCTTTACGACGGTTCTTATAGGCTTTATATTTTGTGTTGATGAAAGTTTTATTAAAGGAAAAGAGCTGATAAATACAAACAGCAGCCAAAACTTTTTGAACAATACACTAGGAAACAGTGCTAGGAAACCTCAGTCTAGCCTAATATCTGACTCTCTTGAAGCACATATCATGATCAACCAGCAAACCAGTAATACAGCTAGAGTAAAAACAAAAGACTAACCAAGTCAGAGCAGATAGCATGAAAAGTTGATAGGGCATAGTGTATGTCAGCAAACATACAGCTAATGATTCTTGGCAAATTAATCATTTCTTCTTACTACAAACCAATCAGCTGCTACAAGATTAATTCCACACACCACTGTTAAGGCAGCCTCTTAAACAACACTGTTGTTTGCTTTAAGCACTTGTTAAAATATAATATCAAAATTGTTATAATGAATTCACACTAACTGGATCTATCAGCCTTAGGATGAAGAAATATGAATGAATCAAGATACTGTCGGCAGCGTGTACCATAGACCTCCAGTATTTACACACTCAGGAAATGCATACTGACACAGTGTTTTATTTTGATCAACAGAGGAAGGTAAGAGGTTTTTTGCAAGACTATACTGAATGAGCTAATTGTCACAGGCCAGTCCAAGGTGCTTCATGACACAAGCCATCACAGCTGATGACGCAAGGCAATACAGACACATGAATTAATATGAATAGGCAAAGAACACTGTACTATTATTTTAGTACTACTGAAGTGCCTCTAAGTGTGTGCAGGATGCTCTTGTCTGGGCTGTACCAATTTGAGGAATAAACATACAGCTTCAGTTTCCATAGCTGTTGCTTTTCAGTCTCTCTAGGCAACACTCAATTTGTTTTCTGGAAGACAAGAGGGATCTAAAGTCTCAACTACACACAAAGACAAGAAAAGAATAACTTCTCTGCGTGCGTGTACACACACGCACACATGTGTATACATGTATATGCATGCAGAGAGAGAGAGAGAGAGAGATATGTTTTTTAAGCAGTTCTTTCTTCTTTGTCAGTACCCAATCCAGCAGTGTGCCCCTTGACAGCTCCTCAGTCACCTCTGTTCAGATGTTATCATCAATGCACTCCAGAAATCTCCTGCATTAGTTAAGCTCTAGACTAGGTATGTTCCGTTCTGTTGCACTTCCAGCAAGATACTGGAGTGGTTAGTCTCCCATAAGGAGCAGAGCCTGCTAACGTGAAGCTTTTCCCAGTTGTCTCAAAACAACCTCATCTTCTACTTCCTCCTGATCAGGAGATCTGTAGCAGACACCCAGCAGAACGTCACCCATGTTGGACTGCTCTCTAATTCTAACCCATAAACTATCAACTGTTTTATCATCCATTCTTAGGCAAAGCAATTTTATAGGTCAGGCTAGTTTTTTAAAAGTTTTTCTTTCTGGTATGAAAAACTACAATTGTTTGAAAAGCCTAGTCTGACTTTTCTAGCTATGAGGAAGGCAAGATAATGAACCTGATTATTTATTATTTATGTGACTGCCACTGACTGTAAAGCACCAGAAAATAAATAAATGAATATGTCAACCGTTACACTCCCTTGGCATTAGTATAAGCTTTAAAATAAATTGAAAATTTAGTCTGAAAGTAGAAGAGACCTGAATCTATCCTAAGCAACCATCATTTCTTGGAAAAAAAAAAAAAACCCAAAACAAAAACCTTACACAGCATACCAGAAACTAGCCACTTCTTCATGCAGTAAACAAAACTGAACTTATATTTTGCCACTTTTCACTATGACAACACACCCACAGAAATGGACAAGGCTGATTTTCAAAAGGTCCTAGAACTTCTGCACAGAATCTAATTCCTGAGGAATGTACTCTGTCCTTGGAGTCAATAAGATGTGGCAGAAGATCTACTATTTGGGGGAAACGGTTTAGAATCAGTCCTCAAAATAACAGCTACCATCATGATGGTACAGCATCATTATATTCAGAGCGAAGGCTTTAGCACCAGAGGTCACGAAAGCATGCTTCTAGACAAATTTAATTTATCATCCCACTTCACATGTTTACTCTGGATCACATCACCCCTCTTATTAAAACTTGAAGGATTTCCAAAAATGCCTGCAGGAATGATGCAACTAAATTCTACTGTATTTTCCAAAAGCACAAATAAAGACACATGCAGCTCCAGCTGACCTTCAATGCCTGCTGCTTCATCTTGATGTACCTTTAAAAATCTTCCAAAGAGTACCAATTTCCCTTTAGGTTCCTCAGCAAATAATAGATACTAAAAAAACCACCCTACTGAAAAGCATACTCTATACAACATGACAAATTCTATTACTATATATTATGCAAACCAATGCAATATTCTCATAAGTATTTAAACAGTTGCCTCTTTCCTACAAAAGCTACACCAGCCAGCTTACCATCAATCCCCAGAGCTCCCTCCTTCTTGTTCTCCAGGCATGGTTCAAAATTGCTGATGATTTCCAGGCAGTGTTCTTTAGTCACGTTCATCATCTGTAAAAGTAGCAAAAATGAAGTGTTAACTAGTAATCACAGCTTCTCCTAGCTCTTTTCTTTGTGTACGGTTTAACAACTGGCCAGATCACAGAATCATATAATGGTTTGGGTTGGAAGGGACCTTACAGATCATCTAGTTCCAACCCCCCTGCCATGGGCAGGGACACCTTCCACTAAACCAGGTGGCTCAAAGCCCCGTCCAACCTGGCCTTGAACACTTCCAGGGATGGGGCATCCACAACTTCTCTGGGCAACCTGTGCCAGTGCCTCACCACCCACTCATCCATAGTGGTACTAAGGATTTCCAGTTACCCAGTGAGATTCTCACTCCTGTCAATCAGTGTCAGGCCAGATAAGAACTAGACTGCTTCGTGAAAAGTTTCTGTCCTATTGGCAGCTGCCTGATGACAGTCGATAAAGACAGAGTTCTGCTTTGTAGGTCAAATCTGGTTAGGGTGTTATTAGGCACACAGAGCATCGAAACAGAACAAGCTTTGTCACAAACCAATGGGATTTCTTCTCTTGTAGGATTAAAGGATTAGTTTGCATTATCAAAGGGTTTTTACTTTAAAATAAAACAAGAAAATGGCTCATCTTTATGCAGCAGACAGAAAAATCAGTTACTAGCAGGGTAACAAAGAATGAGGACATAATGATCTCAGAAAGCTCCATGAGGAAATCTGCTAACTTCAAGGTTGCTTTGCATTCTCAACTGAAAAAGGAAAGAGTACAAAGGGAAATATATGTTTGTGAATGTTAGCATTTATTAAAAAAAGGGCCATTTATGATAAGCTGTAGTTTTATTTACCTTGGAATGTTTTCATAATTCAATTTTAACACTATTATTTAATATTCCTGCCCTTTACTGTTGATTTATCCTCTAATTATTATCCCTGCTATTATTTAATATTCCTGTCCTGAGTGGTCCAGCAAATCCTTTCCATCAGATGCTGTAACTGACACATGAAAACACAGCCCTTGTCACCAGAGGGGACTGCCAATGAAGTGACCAAGTTGATGACTATTTTGGCAACATAGAATCTTTGCTTAGGGGGAAATGAAATGACCAGCATATCTGCTACCAGATCAATGCCTTTTCTGAGGGTAATTTAAAACCTAATAAATAAATGTAAAAGAAAAGGAAGAAAATAAACATAACCCTTTATTTGCCCATATATTATAGGTTTGCTGGGTTCAAAACAAAAAGTTCTGGTGAAATAGGTTTTTCTGGTACGGCTTCAAACACACAGAATGAACGCTTGCTTTCCCTGTACATATTGTATGAGAAAGGGTAGCACTAGGCAAGGGAGAGAGGCCCCACAGGCATGAGTTCTCTACGTCAGTGATTAGCTGAGCTGATTTGTGTCCTGTGGCTAGCGTTCATCTTCCTCTCACCATCTGGAGGATCAATTGACCAATGAAATGGAAACATACCCCACTTATCTAAAAAGATAACTGCCAGAGAGGTGTCTGTCTTATTCATTCATTCCTTAGACAACTTTTGAAACCAATGGAGATTTATGACTTACAGGCATGCAGCTTCAAAAGAGATCATGACAGGAAAAAGGCAAAGACGAGTCAATGCATTTGTTCCTGCATTGACTGCATCTTGCTGTCCAATTATTTTTCCTCACTTCAGAATTTTCCACAAGTCTCTAGATGAAAGATCATAGGATTATTCAGGGACCTCAAGAAGACATCCAGCCCAAAATCCTGCTCAAAGCAGGGTCAACTACAAGGTCACATCAGTTAGCTTAGGGCGTTACCTGGTCTGGTCCTCAAAACCTCCAAGGATGGAGGCTGCAGAACCTCTCCAGGCAACCTGTTCCAATGGATGAATGTCCTCAGGGTACAGATATTAGATGCCTTGCCATTTTCTGGTCTGCCAAATTACCACATACCAGAAAGACCCAAACTTTTTCTGACCAAGGGGTATTTGGGCTAGGAGTAAAAGTGTTAGGCTTCCAGGTAGCTTGGTTACAAAGATTCCTAATGCCATAAAGGTTCAAGACAGCGATGGAGGAAGCAGATCAGTGGGCATGTATGTGGTGCACCATAGACACAGAGATAAGAAACTTTTATCTTTTACCATTAGAAAATAAGAATATATCAACACCAGTTTCCTTTTTTCATGAAAACATATATGAACTGTCAGAAAATGAACTTCTGTAACTTCAATGCGCACAAGTGACCGATGGACAAGATTTCTAACGTGACTGATGTAGGCTAGCCCCCTTGTTAAATACAGTAACACAACTGGATAGCATTTACTGCAATACAGCACATAGTTTGCTGGTATTTTGCTGAATGTGCACAAACAACTATAAGCACAACGTATAGGTGCACTTCAATACCTGAATAGCGAAGCTTATGAAGCTATAACTTAACATCTCTGAAGAGCTGTAAAATGTCTCAGATTCACAAGCAACATTAAATATCATGCTTATCATTACCTACTGGCTGCTGCCACCACCACCCCTGCCCCATATTATTATACAGGGCATATACACATGACCTGGTTTGTCAGACAAAAATACTTACCTGTTTCAAATCAGCGAAATGGGAAAAGATTCTTTAAGACCCACTCCAGCAATGGAGATAAAGCACTAAGAGACAACTTAATATGTACTACTATCTATCCTCAAAAAACTTTCCCAGTTTAATAATAATAATCCTCTCAACAGTTCTTCAGAAACATAATCTTCCACTTCACAAACTGAGATAGTGTGACAAAGTAATTCAGTTTCTCATCATGGAGTGTGCACTAAGCCAAAAGCAGAGACAGAAACAGCATCTTTGCATGAGGGTACTGAATACTGGGAAAAGACAGATATTGATGGAATTGTCCTAAGAGAACCCATGAAAAAGAAAGAAACTGTAGAGACTATATTTAGGGGCACAACAAAAGAGCCTACAGAAAAAAGAGGTAGTGAGAGCAAGAAGATTCAAGAAATAGTCATGCCAGCCTATAAGATGAAAATCAAGAGGCATCTAACTGCTATTTTTCACACATATGACAACAAAGTTCCCACCCCTTTTAAAAGGCAATGCATCCCCAACAGCAAACAGAAAGGCATGCAGATGGGAAGTCTTTTCCTGGCTTGGGCCTACCTTCTGTTCAATCTCCAGAAAGCGTCTCAGGTCATCTGTATCTAGGTAGTCCTTGTGGTTGCTGTAGGTGAGCATTAGCAGGTACAAATCACGTCGTGTTGACATCATCTTATAGAAGGCGCAGAACTCATCAAAGCCTAGCGTGCCCTGGTTATCATCCGTATCAGCCTCCTGTATTACACAGCAATAAGGCAATGAGATACCCAATTGCCCAGCAATAGCTTGAACAAACTTTAAATAAACGAGCTCCTGCACGAGAAAAAAGCAACACTGGAATTAAATGCAGGTTGATGCTGCCTGGCATGGCTACTCACTGTATGACCTGCTAGAACAGATTGATTTATCAGGCTGATGCTTGTCATGTGAATGCTTTGCACTGCTTTTCCCTTTGAACCTCTTAAATGTATGCATTAGTGCATGAGCCAAGAAACAACTTTTAAGGTCTTTATTGTTCCACAGGGAACCCTGCTTGAAGGATTTATTCTATCTATGGCAATGAAATAAGACAGCACACCCTGCAACATAGAACACAACATGAATACGTCTCCCAGGTATTTAAAGACCTTTCAGTTGGCAGAAGACATCTGTTTTGCACAAACTGCTGTTTAATGCAATAGCCTCATGTAAAATTGTTTAGGGTCATAACCATACAGGTCTTAATCCATCAATCAGACAATTTATCACCTGCAGAAGTGAAAGACACAAACTGACATTCTTCCTTTCCCAAACAAAAGCAAAGGCAAAGGACAGGGTATTTGCAAGTTCCTGGTGACTAGGCATTTCATTCCATTTAAGAATTTCTTTTTCTATTTGGAAATGTCTGTGGTGTTATAATGCAATAGTGTGCAACAACATGGACAAATCTACTTTCAAAATTCATTCTGGTCCACATAAATTTTATGCAACAGAAACAGAAAATGGTAATCAAAATGAGGGCTGGCATAGTAAGAGCAGCTTGAGAGAAATGAGCACCCAGCTTCCTGGGGCATCCGTGTGCTATAAACCTTTTATTTCTCTTTTATTCAGTAACATAAAGAAAAAACGCTTAAGTATTTTAACTCTATTTCTAAACTTCTGTTTAAATTTCCCCCCTAGCTGCAAACTTTTTTTTGGTAGGATTTTCCGCTCCTAAGGAACAACGCACCCAAATGATGGGTAAAATATTAGCCTGATGCATACACTAGGATAACCTGTATCAGCTGATTACTGGAAACTGTCCAAGAGCGTTTCCTTCCCTCCCCATAATCTTGAGTTGCTGTGGTTTGCAGAGTTATCCTGTTTTCCATGCTCCATTTGAGCATATTTTACCACTGCGGACCCACAAAGGAATTTACATTGCACATAAAATGCAACCAGGCAGGCTTCAGCACCAGCTGTCAGCAGGATGAAAGAAAGAGCAGAGAGAGATGTAAGTTAAAAATATTTTCAACCCAGAGGCATTAGAATAAATACATACAGCCATGGAAGAGAAGGAAGGTTTCAAGGCCCATTTTTTCCCCAGTCAAACTAGTCAGAAGATTTCCAAGTTACACTCCTTCCCCAAATTATTCTCTAACACTCTTCTGCTATAGTTAAGAAGCCATAATCAGAGGCCATAAAGTGGGTCTATAAAGACTGTCCATGGCAAAATGCAGTGGCTGCATTGGTTTCTAACCAAGGAAAGAGATAATTTTGCCTCCCTTTCTTTTCTCAGGAATAAGTTACAATACAAGAATGACAGCTTCGTGTCCAAACTGAATACAAAATCACCCATCCAATTGTACATATCCAATTGTTGTTCAGTTTCATGTTAAAATACTTGACTTATCAAAAGTCATGCTGACTGCCACTATTCTTAACTTCTCCTTGATCCCACACAAAGCTACCCGTGCTGTGCAGGAAACCATGTTTCCATGAGGCCTGCACATAGGACTCACCGAGCTGTGCAACATTATGGCAGTTTATTAAGGAACAAGTGCTGACATACTAAAATTTATTTGCACAAGATTTATAAACTGTATCATAAAGCCACAGTTGACAGTTTCTTTTTATTCTTTACTATTCTTTAGCAATGGAACAATTCTATAATCAGTGGCTGTTGCCAGCAAAAGTGCTTTTCATTCAAGGTTCTTAACACCATCTAATCCTTGAAGCTTAGGATTTACACTTCTTGCCATCTCTCTCTATATGGATCAATTTCGCTTACAGGTAGGTAATTCTCTAGGGAATACTAAATGCAGAAGAATGGCACAGAGCCCTCCTAAATGATAAACAGAGCCTAATTTTTACATCTGAGCAGAGATCATGTCAAAATGAGAGCAATCGTTTACTAGCATGAATCAGTAAAATGATTCCAAATAGACTGATATGATTTCAGGTTTCTGTTTCATAGGACTAAAGGCTTCTAATGTTCTTGTCCTAGTGCATTAAAAGTAAGATTAAAAATAAAAAATTAATTTTTACACTTTGGCAATACCAAAAGGACTACTTTGTTTCAAAGTGGTCTTCTAGCCACACAGCAACAGGAAAAAATATGTGTCCAGGCAGTTTCATTCCATAAGTACTTTATCAAACCAGGAAAAATCGCTCAAAACAAGAAGAAAAGCTTTGGACAAATGAAGACGTGAACTTTAAGAAATCTTTAATCAGTCTTAAATTGATTGCAAACTGACCAGGAGTTGTACAACCTCAGTAAATGCTTAGAATAAAAGATGGGTCAGTCCTCAAGCACCAACAACAGAATTACCTTTGCCTTGCCACAGATCTTTGTGTGACCTTAGGCAATTCACTTATTCCCGCTTCAGTTTTGTGAAATTGGGCTTATAACATTTCTCTACCTTAAGTTAGGCAAAACTTACGTATTCAGCTACACACAATGCCTTGGACAGATTTAGACTGTCTAGAAAGCCATTCGTAGATAGGTACTTGATCCCTTTCAGTGCTACTGAAATTCCAGTATTTAGTTTTCTCTAAAACAGTCTCTCACAGCCTCTCCAAGAGAACATTCTTTAAAATACCAGAGCTGCTGGAAAATTACGCTGAGATGTCCCTGACTTAGTGTAGTGCAGAAGTCACGGTAGTTCACTATGCTGAAAACTATTGGTTCAACTTCTGCTTAGGTCCTTCACACAACAGATTTTTTGATTATGAAAGCATACACATCTCCATAGTTCAGCTGCCCAGTAAATTGAGTCAAGGTCAGTAGAACACACTGTCAAACAAATAGCTCTTAGCAGTGCAAAAAACATGACAGATATGGAAGTTTGCATACTGGATATTTTATTAGTACCAGTTACCAGGATGCTTTACTAGGTAATATTTATTAGAGAGGACGTAATCACAGGAGGAAGCATGACTGAGCTTCAGATCAACAAGTATAGCAAAAAAGCAATCTTCGTACTGTGTGTCTTTACGTTATGTAACACCAGAAGGTACCTGGTGTAATGCCTTTTTCTATGAATAACCATCTACGACGTGTTTCTGGAGCTCTCTTCAATTTACCAAATGGACTGTGTAGTATCTCTCAATAGAGTGGAAACAAACCAGCTGCCAAAGTATTTACAATCTCTCCCATTAGGTTTCATGTTAATTCTCCAGCAGCTCAACCCTTGTTCTTTTAGAAAAAAAATACATTTTCGTTTCTTACCTTAAACATTTTCTTGACTTTTTGTCGGGGTAGGTTCACATTCAGTTTGTGCATTAGCTGGAGCACTTCACTAATACTCAGACTGCCATCACCATTTTTATCTGCCTCATCAAACGTCTGCTTCAACCACATTGAACAGGAGTTAAGGAACAGCATGGAATATCACAGGATATTACTGAACTTTACGTATATATGATTTTTTTCATGTCAGGAAAGACTGTATATGAGGCTGGGGATGAAAGAAAGTTCAAGCTAATATATAACTCTATTCATGTTATTTCAGTAACAGTTTCTAGACTTGCTATGCTCAACATGCAACACATGCTATTTACCCATACTACAGCACAGAAGAACTAACTTCTGAGCAAACTGCAATGTTGCATCACACATTGTCCTGTATAACCAAATGAAATGGACAGCTTTACACAGGGAGTAACAGATGAAAGAATATACCTGTATGTTTTTCAGTCCACTCCAGTCATTCATCTCCAAATCTTGCCCAGAACAATCCTCTTCAAGGACTCCTCTCTGTCTCTGGAAACAGGGAATGCAATGGGAACCACTTTGAAGCTTTGAGCCTAGTGCTTACTTTTAGCAAAACAAATACTTAAAGGAATCCCTATGCTATTGATAGCTCTCCACCACTGGGTAATACTCTCAGATAGTATAAGAAGGATATTGGTCTCTGGTCCTTTGGCGTTTTGAGAGGCTGTCTTCATCACTGATCCCTGCCATCAGATATTTAAGCCCTGTGATCCAGGTGCGTGCTTCCTCTCCACTGGAAGATACCAGGTCAAGAGATTCCATATGGTCTCCATAGTAGATGCTGAAGCAGCAGTTGGGATCAAAACTGCCATCAGCATAGCGCTGAAAGATCTCCGATTGCTTCCCCTCACAAATCTCCTGAATAGAGTCGATAGAAACTGGAATGACAAAAGCACAGTTCATTAATGACTGTGTACATGCCCTATGTCAGACAGAATGCCTTTATCCTGTAAAGAAATGGCCCAAACCTCACATTGCAAGGTCCCCAATTCACACAGGTTTCGTCTGCAACTCATTTACAACATACTACAACTATTGCAACCTGCATAGCTAACAACAGCAACTTAATCTTCATAAACTATTAATCATAAAATCATTTACTGCCCTTTAAATTCAAGTACAACATTCTTCTTGATCACCTGTGAATGAACCAAATCCTTCATGCTTAGCTGTTTATAAGATGACAAGACCCTAGGAGGAATCAGAAGAAAGGTTCTGTGGTTGACACTCACTTTTGGCTTTCTCATTCTTTCGAGAGGGTCTCCAGCGAATACATGATTTGTGCTCATCCAAGTAATAGAAGCGGACCAACCCTTTGGAACTGCCACGGAGTTTGATCATTTGGGTACCAGCTTGCATGGAACTCATACATCTTTCCACTGAAGAGAGAAATAAAGTGACATCAGTAAGTCAGACTTTGCTCCCTTTAAAATTGCCTTTACAGGAAGAAAACATAATCAAGCAGCTGCCCAACTAACAGTTCAAGTCAAAGGGTAAGATTTCCTGTACTGTCTAATGTAAGAGGTCATAAAATCAAAAGGTCAGAAAGATTCTTGGCAACTGTGGACTTATCTGTAAATGTGAAAGATTTCATTTCCATATTAATAGGTATGAAACATACATATGTTGGAATTGGCGCAAGGTACATACCCTTCTTAAGACCATCCCAAATGCTTAATTTGAGCTCCTACAACATGTAAAACTTGTGCTGGACACAGTATGAAATTTCACCTGGAAGCTCAGATCCTTGGCCAGCAAAAACTAGCACAGTTCCATCCACGTCAGGAGAGTTGTTTTCATTATGCTTCACATTTTTGCCTCTTAAACATCCAGTAACTTTGTGGCATAACTTCAACAAGTTGTTGGTTTTTTTTTTTTTTACATTCCTCTTTGTAA